ATATACACCTTTACGTAGTACATGTGTATATACACCTTTACGTAGTGTACATGTGTATATACACCTTTACGTAGTGTACATGTGTATATACACCTTCACGTAGTGTACATGTGTATATACACCTTCACGTAGTGTACATGTGTATATACACCTTCACGTAGTGTACATGTGTATATACACCTTCACGTAGTGTACATGTGTATATACACCTTCACGTAGTGTACATGTGTATATACACCTTCACGTAGTGTACATGTGTATATACACCTTCACGTAGTGTACATGTGTATATACACCTTCACGTAGTGTACATGTGTATATACACCTTCACGTAGTGTACATGTGTATATACACCTTCACGTAGTGTACATGTGTATATACACCTTCACGTAGTGTACATGTGTATATACACCTTCACGTAGTGTACATGTGTATATACACCTTCACGTAGTGTACATGTGTATATACACCTTCACGTAGTGTACATGTGTATAGACACCTTCACGTAGTGTACATGTGTATATACACCTTCACGTAGTGTACATGTGTATAGACACCTTCACGTAGTGTACATGTGTATATACGACTTTACGTAGTGTACATGTGTATAGACACCTTTACGCAGTGTACATGTGTAAAGACACCTTTACGTAGACACCTTTACGTAGTACATGCCTATAGACACCTTTAGGTAGTGTACATGTGTATAGACACCTTTAGGTAGTGTACATGTGTGTAGACACCTTTAGGTAGTGTACATGTGTGTAGACACCTTTAGGTAGTGTACATGTGTATAGACACCTTTAGGTAGTGTACATGTGTATAGACACCTTTAGGTAGTGTACATGTGTGTAGACACCTTTAGGTAGTGTACATATATGTATAGAGACCTTTACGTAGTGTACATGGGTATATATATACAACTTTAGGTAGTGTACATGTGTATAGATATTTTTACGTAGTGTACATGTGTATATATATACACCTTTAGGTAGTGTAAATGTGTGTAGACGTAGAGCTCATCTTGCAAAACCTTACACACAGTGTTAACGATCACTGTCATGTTACACAGCCGTCAGCGATGATTGTCATGTTACACAGCCGTCAGCGATGATTGTAATGTCACCCACGCCGTCAACGATTACTCCCATGTTACCCACGCCGTCAACGATCACTGTCATGTTACACAGCCGTCAGCGATTACTGTGATGTAACCCACGCCGTCCTCGTTTACTGTCAGTATACCGACGCCTTCAACGATTACTGTCGGTTTACCCACACCGTCAACAATCACTGTCATGTTACCCACGCCGTCAACGATTACTGTCATGTTACATACGCCGTCAACAATCACTGTCATGTTACACACGCCGTCAACGATTACTGTCATGTTACACACGCCGTCAACAATCACTGTCATGTTACACACGCCCTCAACAATCACTGTCATGTTACCCACGCCGTCAACGATTACTGTCATGTTACCCACGCCGTCCTCGTTTACTGTCAGTATACCGACGCCGTCAACGTTTACTGTCGGTTTACCCACACCGTCAACAATCACTGTCATGTTACACACGCCGTCAACGATTACTGTCATGTTACACGCCGTCAACAATCACTGTCATGTTACACACGCCGTCAACGATTACTGTCGGTTTACCCACACCGTCAACAATCACTGTCATGTTACACACGCCTTCAACGATTACTGTCATGTTACACACGCCGTCAACAATCACTGTCATGTTACACACGCCGTCAACAATCACTGTCATGTTACCCACGCCGTCAACGATTACTGTCATGTTACCCACGCCGTCCTCGTTTACTGTCAGTATACCGACGCCGTCAACGTTTACTGTCGGTTTACCCACACCGTCAACAATCACTGTCATGTTACACACGCCGTCAACGATTACTGTCATGTTACCCACACCGTCAACAATCACTGTCATGTTACACGCCGTCAACGATTACTGTCATGTTACCCACGCCGTCCTCGTTTACTGTCAGTATACCGACGCCGTCAACGTTTACTGTCGGTTTACCCACACCGTCAACAATCACTGTCATGTTACACACGCCGTCAACGATTACTGTCATGTTACCCACGCCGTCAACAATCACTGTCATGTTACACACGCCGTCAACAATCACTGTCATGTTACCCACGCCGTCAACGATTACTGTCATGTTACCCACGCCGTCCTCGTTTACTGTCAGTATACCGACGCCGTCAACGTTTACTGTCGCTTTACCCACACCGTCAACAATCACTGTCATGTTACACACGCCGTCAACGATTACTGTCATGTTACCCACGCCGTCAACAATCACTGTCATGTTACACACGCCGTCAACGATTACTGTCATGTTACACACGCCGTCAACAATCACTGTCATGTTACACACGCCGTCAACAATCACTGTCATGTTACCCACGCCGTCAACGATTACTGTCATGTTACCCACGCCGTCCTCGTTTACTGTCAGTATACCGACGCCGTCAACGATTACTGTCGGTTTACCCACACCGTCAACAATCACTGTCATGTTACACACGCCTTCAACGATTCTTGTCATGTTACACACGCCGTCAACAATCACTGTCATGTTACACACGCCGTCAACAATCACTGTCATGTTACCCACGCCGTCAACGATTACTGTCATGTTACCCACGCCGTCCTCGTTTACTGTCAGTATACCGACGCCGTCAACGTTTACTGTCGGTTTACCCACACCGTCAACAATCACTGTCATGTTACACACGCCGTCAACGATTACTGTCATGTTACCCACGCCGTCAACAATCACTGTCATGTTACACACGCCGTCAACGATCACTGTCATGTTACACACGCCGTCAACGATTACTGTCATGTTACACACGCCGTCAACAATCACTGTCATGTTACACACGCCGTCAACGATTACTGTCATGTTACCCACGCCGTCAACAATCACTGTCATGTTACACACGCCCTCAACAATCACTGTCATGTTACACACGCCGTCAACGATTACTGTCATGTTACCCACGCCGTCCTCGTTTACTGTCAGTATACCGACGCCGTCCTCGTTTACTGTCATGTTACCCACGCCGTCAACAATCACTGTCATGTTACACACGCCGTCAACGATTACTGTCATGTTACCCACGCCGTCAACAATCACTGCCATGTTACACACGCCGTCAACAATCACTGTCATGTTACCCACGCCGTCAACGATTACTGTCATGTTACCCACGCCGTCAACAATCACTGTCATGTTACACACGCCGTCAACGATTACTGTCATGTTACACACGCCGTCAACAATCACTGTCATGTTACCCACGCCGTCAACGATTACTGTCATGTTACACACGCCGTCAACAATCACTGTCATGTTACCCACGCCGTCAACGATTACTGTCATGTTACCCACGCCGGCAACGATTACTGTCATGTTACCCACGCCGTCAACGATTACTGTCATGTTACCCACGCCGGCAACGATTACTGTCATGTTACCCACGCCGTCAACGATTACTGTCATGTTACACACGCCGTCAACGATTACTGTCATGCTACACACGCCGTCAACGATTACTGTCATGTTACCCACGCCGTCAACGATTACTGTCATGCTACACACGTCGTCAGCGATTCTTGTCATGTTACACCTGTTGTCAACGGTCAATACACCTAAACAAAAATGACGTCATTAAAGATGACTGCCACATAATTGTGACGTTCCACTGGTGTCAACTGCAGTTGCCACAACACATCACATGCCTGCCATGCATCAAACGTAATCAACAATTATCAGACGCCCACTGGCAAACGAGAAATGCGTGATCTTGTCATCTTGAATTTCACCCTTTGATCCGTTGTGTTATAGTTCGCTGGTGCGTATAATTACGGAAGTGTATTGCCTCTACGGCCCGGACACCGTTAAACCGGACACTTCAACGGAACCACTGCTATAACTTAAATGTCATTACAACGGTTCCGTAAATTAATGAAACCGCGCGATTTGAACGAGAATGGTACAGCCCCGATAAAAATGGTATCGTACCATTGTGTTAACGCCTGTCACGAAACAGTAACAATGCCACTCTTTGATCTTTATTATCCCCGAGTAATGATGTTAACGAGTGCCCATCAACACCGTCACATCACTGGTACATTACACATAAATCCCCATCGACATTAAAACTTCTTTTGTATGAGTTCAGCTGGTACGACGGGTTCAAGCAAGGGCAGACACTGCTGAAAAGCCAATTTTACCATTTCTTGTTCAGGCATGGTACGACCGCCTCCGTGGTGTAGTTAGAGCGTCCGCCCGGAGAGCGGAAGGTCGCGGGTTCGATCCCCGACCGCGTCATACCAAAAGACGTTAAATTATGGTACTTGTTGGTCCCTGCCTGGCGCCCGGCATTAATGGGTACAAGAAGGACTGGTCGGCTCGGAGTCAGTATAATGTGTCTGAGTGGGGTATTCATGCTTCACTGCGGCATGGTATCTCAGTGGGCTAGCACTATAAAACCAGCTTCAGTCTGGGCTAGTACAAGCAGCCGCACATACACATACACACGCATGCACGGCGTCATATGAGTGAAATATTCTCCAGCACGACGTTAAACCCAATTTCACCTCACCTCACCTCAGGTATGGTACAGGTTTGTTTGTGAAACAGGTCGACCACAGTGTGAACATCTGTGCATGCACGTGGAGCTCTTGTCTGCAATACGTACCCGACACAAACAGCCAACACAAACGGATCCAACACGCCGAATGCAAGGGGAAAATATTTGGCAATTCTGTTTTATGTGGCAAGTTCGTATTATGTGACAAGTCTGTATTATTTGGCAATTCTGTTTTATATGGCAATTCTGGATTATGTGGCAACTCTGTATTTTTTGGCATGTCCGTACTATGTGGCAAGTCTGTATTATGTGGTAAATTCGTGTTATTTGGCAAGTCTGTGTTATATGCCTAGTCTGTAATATGTGACAAGTCTGTAATATGTGGCAAGTGTCTGTATTATATGGCAAGTGCCTGCATTATGTTGCGAGTCCGTACTATTTGTCTAGTCTGTGTTATATGGCAAGTCTGTATTATCTGGCAAGTCCGTACTATTTGTCTAGTCTGTGTTATATGGCAAGTCTGTATTATGTGGCGAGTCCGTACTATTTGTCTAGTCTGTGTTATATGTCAAGTCTGTATTATGTGGCAAGTCCGTACTATTTGTCTAGTCTGTGTTATATATGGCAAGTCTGTATTATGTGGCAAGTCCGTACTATTTGTCTAGTCTGTGTTATATGGCAAGTCTGTATTATGTGGCAAGTCCGTACTATTTGTCTAATCTGTGTTATATGGCAAGTCTGTATTATGTCGCGAGTCCGTACTATTTGTCTAGTCTGTGTTATATGGCAAGTCTGTATTATGTGGCGAGTCCGTACTATTCAGTATTTGTCTAGTCTGTGTTATATGGCAAGTCTGTATTATATAGCAAGCCTGCATTATGTGGCAAATCTCTTATATTTGGAAAGCCTGCATTATGTGGCAAGTCTGTATTGTGTGGCAAGTCTCTTATATTTGGCACGGCTGCATTATGTGGCAAGTCTGTTATATTTGGCACGGCTGCATTATGTGGCAAGTCTGTTATATTTGGCAAGTGTAGATTACTGCATTTTCAGGACTGTTCGGAAAATGAAGAAAGTCCCAGGCCTCCTTTTCAGTATGTTTTATTATGATAATTTACGAACTGTGAAATAGATTAATTTCAGAGACTAAATTTTAGTCGGGGCTGGAGCTCCGTCAAATACAGCTTGCATGTCTCAGCAAAATACTTGCCGTTTTAATCAGTTTTAACGTCACGCAAGTTCGTGACAGGATCTGGGGCTTGACGGCGAGTGTCGATGCTATCTGGCATGAGCTATTTTGAGTCCAGCTGATGATATCATGATACTTGTCAAAACTATCTGAATGCAAGTGAAATATTTTAGAGGTACCCGCCCTTTACAGACCTGAGCATGTTTTGTATCAGGTGAACCATTCCACGTCGTGAGAAAACACGTGACGTCTTCTGAACTCGAAACTTAATAACTTGCCTCAACTTTGAAGACGATATGACTTTTGATCCCACCATATTCCCTATCGACACAATGATTGTTACTCTGTTTGTCTCGAACTGCAGAAATTCTCAGCTCCATGTGAAGTATGCGAAACGAGCTACCTCGAGGAGTTTGAGCTAATTTTGTATTCACAATTATCTCATTGACACGGGTACCCATTCTATATTTGGCGAAGAGATGTCATCTCTTCTAGGAGACAGCACATCTGTCAAGTCGACTAACCGATCAATGAGGGTGGCGCGAGTGAGCGAGTGTTTTAATCCTGAGTGGTATTCTAACTACGTCACAGCCACCTGTAGATGATCGCATCTATGGTCTACCCATTCATCGTGCAGGGACACGTTGTAACCATCCAGCCCTCATTGGTCATTGTGTGCTAGCCTTGTAGTTAAAGTGTAAGGAACAAACTACTTACTTTCATGTTTTACCTGTGATGATCCTGGTTAGAATTGGTCTTCAGTAACCTAGGCGACTGACGGGATCGGGTGGTTAGGCTCGCTGACTTGGTTGACAGATGTCATCGGTTCCCAATTGCGTAGATCGATGCTCATGTTGTTGATCACTGGATTGTCTGGTCCAGATTCGATTATTTACAGACCGCCGCAATATATTTGAATATTGCTGAGTGTGGCGTAAAACTAAACTCACTCACGTTCATGTTTGATATTCATTTGGAATGTGAGACACTTTGTGCACTTGGGTTTTTTATGTTGTGCTTACCACATCACAGCATGTGCGAAATGAACCTGTCCTGGCCAAACGTTCCCTTACATATACTCCGGTCAGAGGATCACACAGATGTTCGTTCTAAGCTCACTGGTGATGGTACAACTAGCTGCCTGTGAGGCGCTGGAAGGTGAACAATCACATCACCACCTCGTCCTGCCGGGTACCCATTTACAGCTGGGTGAAGAGGGGCATATTTGAAGCAAACCGTTCTTCCAAAGAAACACTACATGTGCTTCCCCATATGGGAAATTGAACCAGCGTCTTCTGCCTGACGAGCGAAGGAGCGAGCGCTTTAACCAGTAGGCTACCCTACCGTTGTGAAAAACTTCTCTATTGTGAATAACACGACGTTGAGTGTATGCTTGCGCCTTCATCAGGTTGAAGGAGCAAGCATACACTCCGAAACGTCGTGTTGTTCACAATAAAGAAGTTGACATCCATAAATCTCGCTTTTCTTTATTCCACTTCTAAATGCCCTTCAAAGATTTTACCCTACCGTTCCATGTACTCTGAAGAATCACATGGGGTTATTGTGACCGAACTAGTCAAAGGTATTGCAGTAAAAGCGACTTTCTTGTGCCGGTGGCCAAGACATTGATCAATGTCAATTTGTCTTAATATCAACCCTTAGTTTCAATGACCCCGATTCAATCATGTAGAGATCTCCTTCACACTGAGGAAATGTTGCTGACTGTGACTTGAAGTTTCACCTTCGCTTGAACAGTCATTTTTCGAGTATAAGAAAAGTGAGATCGTAACGAGAAACGAAATAAACCACTTTTCATGTCGCCCAAGCACGTGTATAAAAAGTGAGATCGAAACCTGAAACGAAATACATACGGTTCTTTTATACCACTTTTCATGTCTTCCATACATAAGTATAAAAAGCGAGATCGTAACAAGAAACGAAAAACGTGTAATTCTTTTATACAACTTTTCATGTCACACATGCACGTGTATAAAAAGAGTGAGATCGTAACGAGAAACGAAAAACGTGTATTTCTTTTGTACCACTTTTCCTATCACCGTAACAAAAGCACGGGCATCACCAATGCTCGTTTCAAAAGTGCTATATTTAGCTTCCATCGTTCCTCAAGTTCACTCGGGGCGCGAAATGACACTTTGAAAAAACCTGAAAAACCAAAAACACCGAAACGTCGACAGGACAGAAAGATGATCCAACCAGAACCGACACTGTCACACTTCGTACACAGTTTTCAAACCGACCCCCCCTACACCCTGACTGGCCTCTTTTGTATAGATGTGTCAGTCAATGTCACGCCAGGTCACGCGAGCGCGGGCAAGCCAGCTGCCACGTTAAGACCTTGACCTTCATTCTTCGGTCACGTTATCAAGTGTATATACAGAAGCCAATTCAAGGCACCGCGGTGCAAGCAAATGAACCAAATGCACTTCTTGTCAACCGATGTTATTTTGAACTCTAATTGTTATGAATACTCATACATGATAGACGTTTGATGTCGCCCGAAGACACCTATGTGTAATGTTTATGCTAGCCGTTGAAATACTATGCCCAAATCTCGCGAAATACGACCTTTATTATACAGCTTTAATGGGTGTTACAGGCAGACCCAAGCCACTCGGTGCGGGGGCTCTGGGTGCAGATGGAATTCGGCGTGCTTTTTAATACGTACGGAGAAGAGACAGATAGGTTTACGACGGTGTAACCGTGATAACGAACCAGTGACATTGAGTAAGCAATGACGTGGGGCGATATCCATATCTGATGACGGCTGGGGTTGAAACCTCTGCACGCAATGGGTGTCTCCGTCATATGCTGCAGAGAGTGAAGGGTAGATATGTTGAAGAGCGGTTTAATGTCCTGTCTAAGATTATTACGCAATTATATTGCGACGTACACGCTCGTATTCGCGTGCGTGCGTCTGTATCTCTGTGTGTATTTGTGTCTGCGTCTCTGCATCTCTGCGTATATCTCTGTTGCTGCTTATACTAGCTCGGGTAGCCCAGTGGTTAAAGCGTTCGCTAGTCACGCCTAAGACACGGGTTCGATTCCCTATTAAGGTACAATGTGCACCCGTTTCTGGTGTCCCCCCGTCGTGATATTGCTGGAATATTGCTAAAAGCGGCGTAAAACTAAACTCACTCACTATACTAGCTAGTTCACATTTTTCATTTTTTGCCCTATCCCTTTGGGATACGATCCCACAGTTTAAAAGGCTATCCATTCTCGCGCATTTTATAGGCCCCGAGCCAATCAATCCTTGTCCCTCGAGTCCTCAAAGTCCTTATGTTTGGCGCGAACTGGACATGGAAGGCAAAAATGCGGTGAAAAATATAAGTGTGGGTCAGTGGAAATTACACATTAACAGCTGATTTACTCAAATGAACATAAAAGTTTGGGTTTTTTTAAATCTAGAAATAGAGATTTTAAAGAAGAGATATTCAAAACTTGAGACTCGTATATGCACATACTTACTGTTAGTTAAAACCTGTTGTTAATTTACAATGCGGGATAGACATGGGATAAAAGCAAGATGATCATATTTGATAGCATCTGTAATACATATAGCGTGACCTCAGTATTCCGGACCTCGTTAAACCGGACACGCCATGCTCGTTCAAGAGAAATATACAGCTAAGTCTTTTGCAATGAAAACTCTTTTTAGTAAGGAAATTCGATACTTTCTCAAAATTTCATTATACACATTTTCACAGTGTGTGTCTTCTGAGCTAAGCGGACTGAGGGGTATTGTGTTTTCTCATTAAAGCAGAAACTAACGAACTTTAGCGAGGATTGGTGTGTTGCTGGAATAGATTTGTTCGCTCAGAACGGTAACGAATTACTGTTGAAACGTCAGCGACAACATTGCGTTAACTCGGCATGAACGGAGGCAGTATGGGCCCGTGTTACGTGTGTAGTACTCATGTCAAATAGACTTGATCTGTTCACAGTACAACTGCACCGAAGTCCACACTTGCCTTATGGGTGAATATTTCATGATGGGGAGTGGTTGTTTCGTCTAAGATTCATTGTTCATTATTCTTCTCTTTACTGTTTCTGTATGGACGTCTAATCACGTCTTCTCGAACTCAGATCTTTCACCGTTTGTGTCGAACTCCAGTCCGGTCCCGGAGACGGTTACTATGTCTGTAACTAACGTTAACCTGCATGTTTCGAACTGGATGTGTCGAATTATATTGTTTAACAATACAGTCATGAATAAATTGTTTTGTCTGTCAAATTCGTTGTACTATGACACGTTTTGTCTGAAAGTCATTATGCTAAAACCATTAAAGAAACTGTTTTTACTTTAAAAAATCCCTGTTAGTAAAATATTGTCTCTGAAACTCGGTGTACTAGAAGCACTCGGTGTACGTACTATAAGCACTCGGTGTACTATAAGCGCAAGCACATTGTTTTGTCCTTGAAACTCGTTTTTTCTATAAGCAGGAACAGTCTGTTTTGCCATTTGAACTCGTATATTGCAATGCATGCATGCATGCATGTATGTATGTATGCATGCATGCAGTATACACACGTACACACATCTATGCATGCATGCATGTATACATGTGAGTGTATGTATATATGTATGTGTATATATTATATAAATTATGTATATATGTATTAAACTTATGTGTGTGTGTATATTGTCTTCGTTTCTGGTACAGCAACTTTGTAAACCAAAAGCCAGCTATGACGACAAACACACGGTCAGGTAGCACAGTAGTTCAAGCCTTCACCCGGGTTCGAAGCCTCATTTTGACAAAGCACAAGTCCATCCCTATTTCCCACGCCGTTATACGACTGTATGGAAGTGACGAGTGTTAAATCCTTCACACGCGCTCGATTTCAAGGCCAATTATTAAATTACACATTGCTCTTGTTGTCTTGAAACCGCAGTGAACCACGAGCTTCAGTGTAAAACACGACCCAGCGTTACCTAGCGTTAACAGATAGGAAATCAATTCTATTCTGAACGCCGTGGTAGTGCTCATTGCAGATTTCAAAGAGTTAATTCAATCCCAGTTCATGGTAGAACTGTTTCACGGTGCATTAGATTCATTTCACAATGTAATAAACTACAGGTGTATTACAGGCAGCCGGCCCAGGTTATTCCCCTTCGAGGAGGACACTAATCCTCGGCTATCGGATTCGGGTGAATTCCACCACCTGGTGCGTCCTTTCAGCGTCTTCGTATACTTATTACAATCCCCGTATCGGGTGATTCATGTTAAACAGAGATCGTACTTAATGCTTTTTCCGACGATGATTTGTGGATGGTATACGTTGAGTCTATTCAGTTACCCCTCTTCTTTTTTCTCTCTCGATGCTGTTTAAGTCATTCGACCCGAATGACACATCATTCGCTGAGGACTTTTGAATAGGGACTTGTGGAGGGGTTTGACACCCTACGAAATATGAGTCGGCTCCGACAAGATGCACCCGGTACACTCAAACTCATCCTCATCAGTGTTCGCTTGCCCCTCATTTCCCAGAACGAGGCTCTCTCTCAAAGTTGTTATACGTACAGGTAGTGCTGAAAAGCTTGCACTCGTCGACATTGACGACCCAAGTCAGTAAAGAACTCGGGCGACATCAGCCCCGACCGATATCTATCTATCTTCTACTTGATTTAAATTAAACACAGTTGATAGTGAGAGGGCGAATAATGCCTTCGTTCCAACATGCATTGCCCTTTTCTTGGTGCGATAAACAAAGTATGGATGACTGGACGGGCCATTATCTAATCCTTAAGCACTGTCGATGGTATTGTAAGTGACGGGTTCAGCCAACGAGAAATAAAATATATACAGATACATATGCAAATGTACGCGCATATAATGCTTCCTTATTAAAAAACGAACCACGGAATGGGGGGTTTATGTTCCATAGCTTGGAGTTTCATGCAAGAGCTGCGTGAATTGATTGAGATATTTTCATCATGGTTCAGTATTAAATTCCATTAATAAGTTCCCAAGTTGCGCATCTGAATGAAATATGGTAATACTTTAACGCTCGAAAATATGACATCGTTCCTTTTTCAATCAAATGTCGACATTAATTGTAGGGTCACGAAAGTAATCCTTTTTGAATCAGCGTTCTGCGTCGAGAATTTTAAGAAAAACGTTCTGACTAGGTTCATAGCCGTTCATTTTGTATATGAGAACGACTGTATATTTTTCGAGTTTGCATATTTCCCTGCATTAAATGGACATTAAAAATACGCATTATGCACCAAGGAACGTGTGTGTTTAAGTGCGCATCTTCTTAAGGTGTTCCAAGCCACCGATTAAAATAGACCCCTTGCGTTCCAGGCTTATGCTGTAAAGTGACATTTTGGAAGGCGTTTAATTATTATTATTTATGGTGGTTCTTGCAAGCGCTGATTGCTATGTACCTGCAGCCCCCCTGATAAAGAAATTTAATTAACCTGGGTCAGTGTGGCTGTTGATACTCGTTCTCTGAGTGCAACGCGTGATAAATGACAACTGCCAACTGCATTAATCCTCAAGACGGACATTTAACGTCACGAAGTTAGTTTTTGTTTTAATTTATTGTTTTGTTTCCAGAAAAGAATGTTGAAGGTACGGAGAGGTGACGTTGAGAAACTGAAATGTGTTGCTGAGTCTGTACCCAGAGGTGTATTGTTCTTGGAGGGTTTATCACCCCAACCGCAACACCTAAATTCATCATTTTACCTGACAGTGTATTCCCTGTTGTCTGCTTGTACGATATTTGTAGCTCGAGCTCTTCCATTTGACGTCATTTGACATCGGTTTGAAGCGACACTTCAAACCTTCAAGTGTATTGTGGTTCTGAAAAACAATGTGAATATATGATTCTTTAAAACAACGTGAATATATGGTTCTTGAAAACAACGTGAATCTATGATTCTTTAAAACAAAGTGAATATATGGTTCTTGAAAACAAAGTGAATCTATGGTTCTTGAAAACAATGTGAATTTATGGTTCTTGAAAACAACGTGAATCTATGGTTCTTGAAAACAACGTGAATCTATGGTTCTTGAAAACAATGTGAATCTATGGTTCTTGAAAACAATGTGAATCTATGGTTCTTAAAAACAATGTGAATCTATGGTTCTTAAAAACAATGTGAATCTATGGTTCTTAAAAACAATGTGAATCCATGGTTCTTAAAAACAATGTGGATCTATGGTTCTTGAAAACAATGTGAATCTATGGTTCTTAAAAACAATCTGAATATATGGTTCTAAGAACCAATGTGAATATATACTAGCAGGCCAATTGTAGAATGCAGCAAAGGGGAAATTAATCAATATTGCATGATTCATAAAAACTCTGCTGTACTCAGTATACCTTGACGGGGATATATAACATCATATTCTATTATGACGTTAAAGTTAAAACGTGACGCAAATGTATTTGCTCAAAGGTGGAAAGTTCTGATGTAATGAAAGTTATATGTGTTAAACGTGTGCCTTCGGACTTTCGACTCTCATTTAGCTCTCAAGCCGTGGTATGCTGTTCAAGGCGGCGTTGAACTACACTCACTCACTCACTCACTCACTCAACCACTCAACCAACCAAACAAACAAACAAACAAGCAAACAAACAAAAGTAGTATCGATAAATGCCCGTATTCCACTCCCTCAGAGATACAGTTTGTGAAGCACATGGCCGCAATGAGGTAGCAGACTGGCCAAAGCGTTCGAAGATGCTGTTCGACTCTTCTCGTAGGTACAGCGTGGTGGCCGTCACTGTGACGTTGCAGGAATATTGCTGAAAGCGGCGTAAAACAATACTTACTGACCCTGGCTTTTTCATTGCTGGAATATTGCTGATGGCGAACATTCACGCTATCAATACTCACACATCACCAACTAGCTTATCGCCCAAAGTAATTTGGTTGGTGGGGCAGTGGACGGTGTACTGGTCCAACCTATGATGTGCTTTCTCTCAGCGGTGAGTCAGTGGTCGAGTTTAGTTTTACGGCGCTTTTCGCAATATTCCATCAATATCACGGCGGGAGACACCAGAATTGGGCTTCACACACTGGGAATCGAACCCGGGGCTTAGGCGTGACGAACACTTTAACCACAAGGCTACCTCACCGCCCACTTTCACTCGGTGGATTGCTAGTTTCGAACCCAGAATACGAAACATGCGTTTCTCACCGCTATACTTGACACCCTGCAATGAGTTAACGGCAGATAAGACCTACTGGGTGTAACTGACACGTATGCTTGTCCTTTCATTTATATTTGAGCGTCAACAGCATTAATCAAAGGAGAGTCCGGGGTTCGATTCCGGCTACACCATAAGCATGTGTTTACAAATGACTTTAACTCGGTGCTGATACGTTGCGAGATGAGTGAGTGAGTGAGTGAGTGAGTTTGGTTTTACGCCGCTTTTAGCAATATTCCAGCAAAATCACGGCGGGGGACACCAGAAATGAGCTTCACACATTGTCGTTGCGAGATGACATCTAATGGTTTAAATTTACTCGTTATCACACCACGTGAAGATCCCTGTTAGAAATGATTTTCAGAATAGCACCTTTTTCTCAGGGGATCGGGTGGTCAGTTTCGCAAACTTGACTACTGCATCATATCGCATCTTAGTTGTGTATGATGCTCATAGTGTCAATCACTGGATTGTCCTCAGATTCGCTTTTTACATAGATGGAATAACAACAGCACCATCAACAACTACCCCATTTCTCCACAACGACAAAAAACCAAGAACATGTATTAGCTTGTATGAAGCTTGTATTAGTTTGAAGGTAGCCTAGTAGTTCAAGTGTTTGCCCGTGACGTTGAAGAATCGGGTTAGATTCCCCACATGGGTGCATTTCCGGTGTTCCCCGCCGCGTTATTGCAGGGTTATTGTTAAAAGCGACGTTTACCTTATTCACTCACTTGACACGCTAAACTGACCACCTCCAATGTTCCTGTTTCAGCCACCCGTTTTGGGATGCTACCCATCCTCGAGGTAGACGGCAAAAAGTTTTCACAGAGTTTCGCAATGGCGAGGTATATCGCACGAGAACACGGTGAGTTCCAACGTTGCATTTCGTTTACCATATATATTTTCAAGAATGTTATACCCAATCACTAAATCATTGGTAATGTGTTCATAATCTCTGGCTCATCGCACACTGTCCTTATATGTTACGTTTGTGACATTTCTTGGTATTAAATCTTCATGATTACTCTTTCGTTATTTTTACCCAGCTTGTGCAAGTTTACAGTGCAAAATTTAAATAGAATCCCTTTGCGACTTTAAACATGGCCGTTGCGGCAGCCATATTGAAAATATAATTTTTGTAAAATAAAATTCTGGTTATGTGTGTATAGATATTTTAGTTTCAGTAACATTACGTATGCTTATTGGTTTTTTTACTTTCTGAGATGAGATATCACATGCTAAAAGAATGCTTAAAAGACTGGGAAAACGGGAAATATTTAAAATTAGTTTCTGAAGGATTTCAACAGCGGCCACATTGAAAATACTATTATTTTAGAAATGTTAACGCATAACATGTTTCATGTTTGTTGAAATGTCCGGATCTGTCGACGTACGTACGCAATATCTGGTATTCACACGGTATTCACTACGTCCGAAACACATGGATCCGCAGAGCTCACTTAGCATAACGCTACACCATTGTTACGGCAAACAACGAATGATCTCGACGCCACTACAGTCGCTTTAGTCGATGACGTTGATTTCAAATAACGTCAACATAGTGTTTTCTGGCTCGGTAGAACGTGCGACTGGACTCTGGGCCGCGTTTCACAAAGCGATCATAGCGCTACGACAATCGTATCTTCCATACTTTAACACAGAGTTACGACAGTCGTAGCGCTAAGATCTCTTTCTGAAACAGGGCCCAGATCCCCCGTTTCACGAATTGATCGTAGCGCTAATGTGACCGTAACTCACATACTTTAACATAATAATAATAATGTGTCCATTTATATAGCGCCAAACTCCACACTAGGTATGCTCATAGCGCTAACAATCAAGGCCATTATTACCCCGGATAACCAAAGCTGCCTGTTAGGCGCTAGAAGGTTATAGTCATATGACTTTTTTCCACCGGGTACCCATTTTCCTGCTGGGTGAACAGAGGCAATTTTGAACAAACTCACTTGCCTAAGGTGAGACCACATGTATCACATGTGCTTCGTTGTGGGCAGGACTCAAGTCCTAGAAACTCTCAGGAGTCAAGCTGCCAAACACGGTCACCCATCCAAGGACTCTCCGAGCTCGACGCTGCTTAACTTCACCGATTTGTGACCTGAGCTTTAAGCACAGGACCACGCGCCACCACCTGGAACATAGCACTACGACGGTCGTAACTATAAGATCGCTGTTTTGTGCCCGGGGACGCAACAAACGTTCCATGGATGGTCCGGTGTGGAAGGTGAGGGACCAGATGAATCATTCCTGGACCGCCAAGAGTGATGCGGGGTCTTCCTGACATTGAAACTCCAGTAATGCCTTGTTGGCAATATCGTAGACTAAATACTCTTCTTCCACGAAATTGTGAAAATAATGTTACCACTTTGAGGTTTTTTTTCGGAGTATCCATTTCATAGTACTAAACTGGTAAACGCGTACTTTGAACGCGCAGGTCAAAGTGTTGTTTAATTAAAAAAATAACACTAAATGATATTGCGCAAACTGAAGCAAAACACGCATTGTGACTGAAGTGATCAAATTTAAACTTTATACTTCTGTATCTGCTTTATAAGAACGATACCAAACTGTTCATTGAATCACATTAGATTGACTAGGATAAATCGCGACAAGCATCCATATCAGATTTAAAATGACGCAATGCAATTACAGGCACGCATTCAAAGTATTGTTGTGAGGGCTTAGTTGAACAGTGTATGGACACACTACTGTAAAGTCTTGTGGTGTATGGTCAGGTGCATAGAGCTCAGTCACAAATCAGTTGAAGTTAAGCAACGTTGGACGCAGAGAGTCCTTGGATGGGTGACCATGTTTGTCATCTTGACTCCTGTGAATTTCTAGGACTTCAGTCCTGCCCCACAACGGAGCATATGTGATACATGTGGCCTCACCTTAGGCAAGTGAGTTTGTTCAAAATTGCCTCTGTTCACCCAGCAGAAAATGGGTACCCGGCGGGATACGACTATAACCTTCTAGCGCCTAACAAGCAGCTTGGGTTATCTGGGATATTAATGTGTTAGCGCTTTAAGCATTTGACCTAGTGTTAATTTCCATGTTTGACGTAGGTCCTTATCGCTACCCTTAATCGTAGACCATGTTACCAAAAACCATTTCAGTATACTTATGTATGCTTATCGTTTTTCAGGGTTATACGGCAAAACGAATCTGGACATGCTCCAGATCGACGAAGTAGTTGGTCTTGCAGAAGATCTCAGAGACTACTTCGTAAAGATTTACCACGAGAAAGACGAACCGAAAAAGGTAGGAGCCCTTTCTTCATAAGTTTCACATCAAAACCTGCATAATGGAAGCCTCTGTTTTGAAAAAGAATGTTTTGAAACATGACTTTAATACAATGTCTTGGGCTAGATATATACATATATGTTAGCGCGTGAAAAGCCTAATATACTTTTGAAAAGTGAAGAAATAGTATTGTGGACAATCGAAAGACGTTCGGATATATCGAACCCTCGTTTGTGTCGAACTCATCCGTTTCCACTGAATTTAATCAGCTGTTATTATTTTATATCTAATCGGATGTTCCGAACCTTCTCGAATGCTTATGTGGTTCCAAATGACAGTGCAAAGTCCTTAATTGCCCTGACCAATCGAAATGAGACCTTTATGATTTATGAACCGCTTGACACTATAGCATGCATTACATGCAATACTCTGCACTATATTGGGGCGGTGGGGTAGCTTGGTGGTTAAAGCTGAAGACCCGGTTCGATTCCCCACATGGGTACAACGTGTAAAGCCCTTTTCTGGTGTACCCCGCCGTGATATTGCTGGAATATTGATCAAGGTGGAGTAAAACAAGACTTACTTACTCACTACTCTACACTATATATTTGTGGTTCAAACGTCATATAATCATGTGAGATTGTGAATGGCGTTTACAGTCTGATTTGGGACGTTACGAAAATTGAGTCAAATTCGACACAATGGGGATTGAATGTATATGAATACAAAGTATATTAACAAAACATATGCAGCCCTTACTACAATAATCCAAATTACCCAGGAACCTTTACTACAATAACATGAAGACTTACAGCCCTTAATACAAGAAATCTAATAACAATAAGACGTACAGCCCTTACTACAATAACATGAAGACGTACAGCCCTTACCTTACAATAACATGAAGACTTACAGCCCTTACTACAATAACATGAAGACTTACAGCCCTTACTACAATAACATGAAGACGTACAGCCCTTACTACAATAACATGAAGACGTACAGCCCTTACTACAATAACATGAAGACGTACAGCCCTTACTACAATAACATGAAGACGTACAGCCCTTACTACAATAACATGAAGACGTACAGCCCTTACTACAATAACATGAAGACGTACAGCCCTTACTACAATAACATGAAGACGTACAGCCCTTACTACAATAACATGAAGACATACAGCCCTTACTACAATAACATGAAGACATACAGCCCTTACTACAATAACATGAAGACGTACAGCCCTTACTACAATAACATGAAGACGTACAGCCCTTACTACAATAACATGAAGACGTACAGCCCTTACTACAATAACATGAAGACGTACAGCCCTTACTACAATAACATGAAGACGTACAGCCCTTACTACAATAACATGAAGACTTACAGCCCTTACTACAATAACATGAAGACATACAGCCCTTACTACAATAACATGAAGACATACAGCCCTTACTACAATAACATGAAGACTTACAGCCCTTACTACAATAACATGAAGACGTACAGCCCCTTACTACAGCCCTTACTACAATAACATGAAGACATACAGCCCTTACTACAATAACATGAAGACTTACAGCCCTTACTACAATAACATGAAGACATACAGCCCTTACTACAATAACATGAAGACTTACAGCCCTTACTACAATAACATGAAGACTTACAGCCCTTACTACAATAACATGAAGACGTACAGCCCTTACTACAATAACATGAAGACGTACAGCCCAATAACTTACTACAATAACATGAAGACATACAGCCCTTACTACAATAACATGAAGACTTACAGCCCTTACTACATGAAGACAATAACAATAACATGAAGACGTACAGCCCTTACTACAATAACATGAAGACATACAGCCCTTACTACAATAACATGAAGACGTACAGCCCTTACTACAATAACATGAAGACGTACAGCCCTTACTACAATAACATGAAGACGTACAGCCCTTACTACAATAACATGAAGACGTACAGCCCTTACTACAATAACATGAAGACATACAGCCCTTACTACAATAACCTGCAGATATTTTGGAAATTCAAAGTTCCGTTTAAACAATAGATAATGCAACATTTGGCTGAGGGGCATACTTGTTCATACCGCAAGTATGTAACATCTCGTCAGCCCAATTGAATATTAATAACCTTTCAATCATTTTTATTCTCTGAATCACAGAATGCGCTCCGGGACAAGTTCGACAACACAGACCTTCCCCGGTTTTTAGGCTATTTCGAGAAGTTGCTCACAGATACGGATTCAAGTTACTTTGTTGGAAACAAGGTAAGACGGAGCTCTCGGCAAGACCCATGCCTCCTGGTAATAAATAACAACCATGGATGCGTCATTGCTTATCTGTCTTCATGTTTATTGTGCGCCTTAAATATCAATATACATTCATGTATATGGCCTATTTACGCTGTAATATCTTACACAGTTTGTGTTCGACATTTTTTCATTTCTTTCTTAAAATTTACTGAGTCATAAGGTTGCCCGGTTCTCATCGTTCCGATTGCACTTCTCAAGGTCGTGTGGCCTTTTGAGTTGCGTGTCCATGCACGTTTTTGTAACAACCTCGCCCTAATCGTGTCACCGTTATGCCAAAATATGTATGGAGGATGGGAGATAAGGAAACGTTTTGCTTAAATACTCTGGCATAATTTATTGTTTCTGGTTCAGGGATGATCGCAATGGCAAATGTATATGAAGGTTACATGGTGTCATGCATAACTGTTACAGGGTGTCATACAGAACTGTCACATGGTGTCATACAGAACTGTCACATGGTGTCACGTAGAACTGTCACATGGTGTCATACAGAACTGTCACATGGTGTCATACAGAACTGTCACATGGTGTCACGTAGAACTGTCACATGGTGTCATATAGAACTGTCACGTGGTGTCCTACAGAACTGTCACATGGTGTCATGTAGAACTGTCATATGGTGTCATATAAAACTGTCACATTGTGTCATAAAGAACTGTTACATGGTGTCATGTAGAACTGTCACATGGTGTCATACAGAACTGTCACATGGTGTCACATAGAACTGTCACATGGTGTCATGTAGAACTGTCGCATGGTGTCATACAGAATTGTCACATGGTGTCATGTAGAACTGTCACATGGTGTCATGTAGAACTGTCACATGGTATCATGTAGAACGTTCACATGGTGTCATATAGAACGGTTAGATGGCGTCATGGAGAGCTGTCACATGGTGTCACGCAAAACTTCACATGGTGTCATGTAGAACTGTTACAGGGTGTCATGTAGAACTGTCACATGGTGTCATGTAGAACTGTCACATGGTGTCATGTAGAACTGTCACATGGTGTCATACAGAACTGTCACATGGTGTCATGTAGAACTGTCACATGGTGTCATGTAGAACGGTCACATGGTGTCATATAGAACTGTTACATGGCGTCATGGAGAGCTGTCACATGGTGTCACGCAAAATTTCACATGGTGTCATGTAGAACTGTTACATGGTGTCATGGTGTCACGTCATGTAGAACTGTTACATGCTGTCATGTAGAACTGTTACTGGGCGTCATACAGAACTGTCACATGGTGTCACGCAGAACTGTCACATGGTGTCATGCAGAACTGTCACATGGTGTCATGTAGAACTGTCACATGGTGTCATGTAGAACTGCCACATGGTGTCATACAGAACTGTCACGTGGTGTCACATAGAACTGTCACATGGTGTCATGTAGAACGGTTACATGCTGTCATGTAGAACTGTCACATGGTGTCATGTAGAACTGTCACATGTGGTCATACAGAACTGTCACATGGTGTCATGTAGAACTGTCACATGGTGTCATGTAGAACGGTCACATGGTGTGATAAAGAACGGTTACATGGCGTCATGTAGAACTGTCACATGGTGTCATGTAGAACTGTCACATGGTGTCATATAGAACTGTCACATGTTGTCATGTAGAACTGTCACATGGTGTCATGGAGAGCTGTCACATGGTGTCACGCAAAACTGTCACATGGTGTCATGTAGAACGGTTATATGGCGTCATGGAGGACTGTCACATGGCGTCACGCAGAACTGTCACATGGTGTCATGTAGAACTGTCATATGGTGTCGTACAGAACTGTCACATGGCGTCACGCAGAACTGTCACATGGTGTCATGTAGAACGGTTACATGGTGTCATATAGAACTGTTACATGGCGTCATGCAGAGCTGTCACATGGCGTCATACAGAGCTGTTACATTGTGTCATACAGAACTGTCAAATGCTGTCATACAGAACTGTTACATGGTGTCATGTAGAACTGTCACATGGTGTCATGGAGAGCTGTCACATGGTGTCACGCAAAACTGTCACATGGTGTCATGTAGAACGGTTATATGGCGTCATGGAGGACTGTCACATGGCGTCACGCAGAACTGTCACATGGTGTCGTGTAGAACGGTTACATGGTGTCATGTAGAACTGTCACATGGTGTCATGTAGAACTGTCATATGGTGTCGTACAGAACTGTCACATGGCGTCACGCAGAACTGTCACATGGTGTCATGTAGAACGGTTACATGGTGTCATATAGAACTGTTACATGGCGTCATGCAGAGCTGTCACATGGCGTCATACAGAGCTGTTACATTGTGTCATACAGAACTGTCAAATGCTGTCATACAGAACTGTTACATGGTGTCGTACAGAACAGTCACATTTAGTGGCCTCAGTTCACCACAAACAAATAAAGGAAATGCGCCCACGCACAGGCAGTGTTCCATTGCCATGTCCCTGCTAGGACAATGATAATCGCTGGACCAACACTGGATATCCCTTAACCTTGGTCTCATTCTTCCTACTCTCTGCGACCGGTCAAGCAGGGTTGTACTCCGTGTCCTGCGGTAACCTTAGTACGATCAGGCCGATGATACCTGAAACCTGGCTCCCTACAGTGAAACACTTGAGCCACAGTGGCATTTCAACCCTCGGAGCTCTGGTAAAATGACTCCAGAACATTCCGATTTGTATCCTCTGTCTTCGTTATCGTAATGTTTCAACCTACTTGGGATCGCTACAGCCGTGGAAAAATACCACAGGGTAACTAAATACTATTTTTTGTGACGTCGGAAAGGAATTTGAATCAGATCGGATGTCGTTCCACTGAAATTGGTTGGGCAAGACTTGTCTGTATTGGGTTGTCACCCATGGTAGCTTAAAGTCGATCATTGTGGTTTCGAATCCCTGATTCATCCATTGACGATTCCTGGTTTGTTTGCTCCAACCCATGTGTGGGTGTACCTCCGAGGTCCTGACACCGACAGCAGGCCCCGCTGTAGGCGTCTCTACATGCAAGAACATCCATATCCGCCAGGATATGTTTAGGTGGTGGCTTAAAATACGAGTCATGTACACGGATTAAAAAAACTGAATTAGGAGCGGTTGGGTGGCACAGTGGTTAAAGGGTTCGTTCGTCACGACGAAAACTCGGGTTCGACTCCCAACATAGGAATCCCATTTCGTCTCTCCCCTTGATATTAACAGCATGTAGAACAAATGAACAAGTTGTTATGAATTTTCAGTACGAAATGTTTCCCCCTCAAAACAGAATCTAATCAGTTTATCTCTTAGAATTTCGTATTTTCGAACCATCTTTAACGCACCAAACAATAATAGTGTATTAGTAGTGTTCAAATGAGTTTCCTTGTCGCAGACCAACGGCTATGAGCTGTCTGAGGTTCTGATTAGGACCATGGATACTTGTAGCCGTTCACTCTGTGTTATTAAAGTACATTGTAAATCCATATGGATTTCTAATGTTGAATATCCTTCTGCGGGACGTGGTCACTGTCGAACAGCTGGACAACCGGACAATCATCACTGGTGCAGAGCTTGAGAGGTGACAGCAGTTTAAAGTCTGTGTGATATGTCGGTAGGCACACGCTGCTTTGTTCTGTCAATAGTCCCAGATGGCCGATGTTTACAGGGTCTGTTTGTTCAGGCTTGTCAGCGCTTCGGGGCTCGCTAATACAACATTGTAGAAGATCTTCGAAAACGTAAGGCCCCATTAACCGAGAATGACCGCTGGAGATGGTCCTGAAACATACCATGGCGTTACGTCACTGTGTGTGATGATGACATCATTATAGAGGAAGAGCATGACCCTTCAGTTCAGTTGAATCGTTGGTTGGCTGAGTTTGTGTCCGGTGGCCTGTCCGATATTACATATACTACTTTGACTGACTGAGTTTTAGTTTTACGCCGCTTTTAGCAATATTCCAGCAACATCACGGCGGGGGACACCAGAAATGGGCTTCACACATTGTGCCCATGTGGGGTTTCGAACCCGGGCCTTCGGCGTGACGAGCCAACGCTTTAACCATTAGGCTACCCCACCGCCCCTATACTACTTTGAGCCCCTCTGAGGTGAGCCGAAATATGATTAAAGTCGCGGCTGCTTGTCCGGACGTAAGAGTTTGTTAGTGCTCCCCCACCGAGATACACCTCTCAGAAACATTAGTATGACTCCGAGTGGCCAGTCCTTTCTTATTTGTTAACATGGAGCTCAAGTCATGGTAACAAGAATCATTCAGATGGTATTTCAAACATAGCCGCTACGGCAGCCATATTGTATTGGTGTGTTTTATAACTTGGTGTATTACGCCCAAACCATCCATACATACTTAACATTTTATTATGTGATGTTTACTCTACAACCTTCCAAACCTCCTCAGCCATACAAATTGCAATTGGCAATATGATCAAAATATTTGGATGAATGAAATGATGGTTGGTTGGTTTCTTGTTTAACGCCGCATATTCCAGCTATATATGGCGGCGGTCTGTAAATAATAGAGTCTGGACCAGACAATCCAGTGATCAACAGCATGAGCATCGATCTACGCAATTGTGATACGATGACATGTGTCAACCAAGCCAGCAAGCCTGACCACGCGATCACGTTAGTCGCTTCTTTCGACAAGCATGGGTTACTGAAGATCAATTCTAACCCGGATCTTCATTGATCAAATGAAATGAAATATGGCCGATTCAATATGTTAGGAAGTTCATTTACACACGCAGGCAGCAGTTCTCAATTGTTCATAATGATGCATTTCGGCACATGCAACAGCTACTCAGGTGTTAATGCACTGGTGATATTTTGACTTCTTGATTCCTCACAAATTCTTATTGTGTATCGCCATCGCTATTACCCGCAAGGAATATAAATTAAATATAGACACACGTTTATGATGTCAATATAAGTCGATTGTTCATTTGTTGAACTGGAAATTTCC